CGCATTGCGACTGGCAAAGGGGCAGCTCGCGTTATGCGTGCATGGTAGCATCTGCATGATTTCGCGGCAGGCACCAGGTGCGAGGGACTCATGCGCATTCGCGTCCCTCGCGCTGCGTGGGAGATTGTCGTTGTCATGACTCAGCAGGCGCGTGGGCAGCAGGATGACAGCAGGGCAGATCTGCTACAATTCGCGGGAGACCACCTAGGTCGAATGGCGCGGGCTGGAGAACGACGATTGGCCTCAGCCCGTTCCAAGTCTCATGTGTCATGGCTGCGCAGGCAGCGGGCGACGCTGCCTGGCCCAGTTTACCGATGGACCACGCTTCGCGGATGGAGCCCGCCTCAAGTCGACCCCGACATGGGGCCCACAAGTTTCCCTGGACGTCGTTGAATCGCAGCGCGGGTACTGGGCCGAAGTTTGGAATTGGGTCGATCAGGAACGTCGGGAGCATGTTGGCAGTATCCATGATGAACGGTGCCCTGATGAGCGGGTTGCCGAAATGAAGCACATTTCTGAGACTGGCCCTCGGTGCTCCCCCTTTATAGCACCAGCGAGTTGAAGGTCGCGGCCCTCCAATGCCCCGGGCGCGCGGCTGTTGGGGCGGATCGCTTTCGGCCGCGTCCGCGGGCATTGGCGCCCAATGCAGCTCTCTCGGCTTTGGGATATCGACTGAATCTCTGCGAGGTACTTTGGACCTGGCCAGGCATGCTCAAACACTTCCACCTAGTTTTTCCTTTGAAGCCGGCTGGTGGGTACCAGCTTATTGCCCTCCTACCCTCCACGTGCCGAGTTTGGGCGAAAACGAGGGTCATCTGGGTCCGAGCGTGGGCCTCCAGGCTGAATCGGGGCTACCTGGCCTTGGGGGCGCAACGATCCACCGCGGGCGTTGCGGCCGGGGTCTTAGGCCAAGCAGAGGCTGGCGGCTGTTGGGGCCCGGGTGATCTCGCAACTGTGCACGGCGTAGTGGGCGTCGCCAAGTGTTTCGATAAGGCTTCCTGGGTGAAGCTCATGCGAGCTGTGAGTTTCCACGGTTTCCCCGGGCCCCTCGCGGCGCTGGCCCTGCGAGTTCGATGTTGCTTAGGGGCCAGGATATTGGTTTGGCATAGGTGTGCATCGTCAGATCTCTCGGCTACGCTTGGTGTCTTGCCAGGATGTGCCTTTGCGATGCATGCGTTGCAGTGCCTCGTGCCCTCGCCTTTCGACGCTGCGTTCATGCGCGCCGCCTGCATCGCGGGCGCGGTTGACTTGTGCGCAGATGACATTACCATCTCCATCCTTGACCAGGTCAGGGGCATCCTCGCACAGGCCCGCAAGGCCCTCTGTACCCTGGTGAACGCTCTGGATACATTGGGGCCCCCTTACGGATAAGCATACTATGAAGGTCACCAGCGGCCTGCCTGAATTGGGTAGGGCTCTATGTCGCAAGCTCCGCCACTGGGGGTATGTCTACTGCGATGCTTTGGAGGTTTTTGGAATCGAGGTGTGGTCTGGGGGACCTTAGGTCTGCCGCCCTCAGGGCTCGCGTGCGCGCGGCCGCCAGGCGTGTGCCCCGATTTCGAGGCGTGCGCAAGGTGGGTTGCCATGATGAGAGAGACTCTTCGGCGCGCCTGACGCGCGCCAGGCAGCGCCGCGTCGTCTTGGGTGACGGCCCTTTTTGAAGGAAGCTTGCGCGCTGACCCGCAGGTGGATGCATGGCCGGCGCCTGTGTACCAATGGGCTTTGTAGCATCGTGATCGGGCCGTTCCTGGAGGGGTCCTCCACGGGGCTCAGCAGCAGCAGATTTATCTTGTTCTCCGGGCACCAGCGCCGCGGGCGCAGGTGTCAGGCCCCGCTGGGGTCACCCTGCTCGCACTCAGGGACCTCGAGTGGGGCGCCTCTGCGGGGCATGTGCTCAGGGCCGACTTAGGTGACGCGTTGGACCTCGTGAAGGATTGAAGGATGCCCCCTTTCCACCGCTCTCTCCTTCGCTCGTGATGCGGCTGTGCGCGGGCTGCGGGAAAAAGGTGGGCCTTTCGGTCGAATGGGCCCTCGGAACGAGCCTCTAGGGTATTGGATTGGGCCCATCCGGAAGATCCCCGCCCGAGCTCCCTCTGCTGAGGCACCCGATGGAGACTCGATGGGCTCTAAGGATGAGCACGATGGCCCTCCCCCCTGGCCCTGATGATGGCGCCGGCAGCCAGTGGGAGCCGAATCGCAAGGAAGGAGGTCTTTTGCGCGCCGTCGCTGCTGGAGGCATATGGACACCCGCGCGTCTCCCACAGCGTGGGCATTGTGACGCTGCGCCCCGCCCTTTCAGTGGACATGATCCTTGCGCGAGTCACCGTGCGATATGAACATGCGCACAGATCGAACGAAAACGGCAGCAGCGTTTTCAAGTCGCGGGCTTGCGCGGCTTGCTTGAGCGAGCGCCAGGGTCTTGGGCGCGGGACCGTGGGTTCGTAGGTAGATTTCGTTTCCCGCCGCCCCCACCTCGTGACAAGACGGGCAGATGGCGTGCGCCGTATAGGCAACCACGCGGCATGGCAAGTCGTATATGCACGGGTGGGGCTTGTCGGGGCACATTGCATTGGCTTGAAAGTTCTCGCGCGGGGTGGGGATTCGCCCAGCTTCAGCCTCGCGGAGTAGGGGTCAGCATTTTAGTTTTTGGAGCGCTCCCAGTGCCCATCCAGTCCTTCCCTAAGGCTGGAATGTGCGCTTGTCTGCAGGTCCTGACGGTTTGCCTTCCGCCTGTGGTGATCTGCGCGGATTTCAAGGGCCTCGTTGACGGGCTCAGTCTTGGGCTCGAGTGGCGCCTTGCCCCCCGCCGTAGCAATCTGGACCTTTGGGAACCCACTTGGGGCAACATCGATGGCCTCGGGGTTGAGCTCGTCAGGGGACATCAACGATGTTCTGGCGGGGCTGCTGTCGGCAACAGGTGGGCGGATCTCGGGGCCGCGAAGGGTCGCGACATCCACTGTGCCTCGAGAGATGATCGAAAGGCCATGGGGATCGCCCGCGATAGTTTTCGCACTTGCCTTCGCTGGGTGGCGAAGGCCCATGCCTTCTTTGGGGCGGCGGGCAGGCGCGTCGCCAAGCCTCGCGCCAAGAGGAAAGCCCGTCGCCCCCGATAGACTGAAGCTCTAGAGCAGGAGGATGCCCACGAGGTTATACATGTCTGTGAGCAGGTCATTCACCGAGCTGCGTGGCGTTGCTCGTCTTTTTGTTTTGCAGGAAGGGTGCGGGGACCACGAAGAGTATCGCTCGGCTTTCCGCCCTCGCGTGTCTTGTGCGTGCTCGTGAGGCTGCTGCGGGGGCGCTGCCTGGAGCTGGCCGGCCTCCGAACTGGGTGAAGGGGGACGGGGGGCGCGTGTCTGTTGCGCCGCTCCTTGACTCTGCTGGAGGGGGTGTTAGGCCGTCCCGGCTGTCCGCGCTTTCGGTCGCTCATGAGGGTGACGGTCGCAGGGATACCCTTGGCTCTGTTCACAGTGGCGACAGGCGCGGCACGGGTGTTGGGACGAAGGCTGGTCCGTCACAAGCGGCTGGCGCGTGCGGTCTTGAGTGCTCTCGTCTCCCCCTTGACGTTTCCGACCTTCGTCGTGCTACGCGCCGACCTCGGGAGCTCGGGTCGTCGTCGGAGTCTTGAGATGGTCTTGCGCGCTCTGTCCGGAGACGCGTCCAGTTTGATGCCACCAATCTTCAGCAGGCCGTGCATGCAGCTCATATCCCCGAGCGTGCGGAGCCTGCCTTTCAGCCAGCTGAAATGCGCAGGGTTGTTGTGCGCAGCCCTCGGCCCTCTCTCAGCGCCACCACCGTGCCAGCGCAGAGTGTGCCTGACGGTGGGATCGTCCCCCCCTGGAGCTGCCCGAGGCCACCGATGCTGGGTGTCCCCGGGGCATGTCGGTTTGTGCGTGCGGTGCGGTTCCTTCTCGACTGGCACTGCCGGACACCTACCAACTGACTGCCAGCCTCCGGATTTCTGCAGAATTTCCAAGCATGCTGTAAGGAATCGTAAGTTCTTCCTTGAAGGTCGGCATCCTGCCGACAAAGGGAGGTCCAGCAGGCGCTCCATACCATACCCAGACCTAGGCCCCTCCAGGCCACGGATCCTGAAACGTTTTGGCTCCGCCTCGCGGCCGAGAAACTTCGGACCCCTATTGTTTCTTTTTTAACATATTTTTTTGCGGGTGCCCTTGGGACTCACTGTCTTGGGCCCTTCCATATTCATCTGGCGATCGGCGCAGGTGCGAGAGAGGTGCGCTCCGCGCATCCCGCACCTCACTTCTCTCGCGGATGGTCGCCACCCAACCTTCTTTTTGCAGGATCTGGGCACGCTCCCCGTGATCCGTTGGTGGGGGAGTGCGCCACTAACAGTTCCCTGGGAGGGGCCCCTGGCCTTCATCTTATAATGAGCCCGCTGGGCGCCCAGTTGGAGCGCGGCGGTTGCCAGCCAGTCCCGTATCCTCCTCCTCCTCCTCCTCCTCCTCCTCCTCCTCCTCCTGCCCCTCCTCCTCCTCCTCCTCCAAGGCAGGGATCTGTCTTTCGGAGGCCTAGAGCTTGACACCAACACCAATATCGGCGGAATGCCTTCACCGAGGGAAGATGCTCCCAATCTCGGCGATGGTGGCAATATTCGGGCTTCTAGGCGGCCGGCATCTAGGATCGTCTTCTCCCAATGGAGGCAGCCGTTGGTGACCATTTCGAGGCCTCCTAGTCTTGCCCTCGCGCAGCGTCGCCTCGCCAAAACGCGCGTCACGCACGACACCAGCGATTTCCTGGAAGGGGGACTCCGTATCCCTTCCATCTCACCCCCCACCCGCTGATCAAGTTCAGCATCGACATGTACATGTAAATTGACATGCACATCGAAATGAGCTTATGGAAATCGGCATCACAGTCGATACATATGTATGTGTATATATATATATATATATATATATTCAATTGCAAGCGATATGCACATCGAAATGCAATTTCCTCAACCCTCCATCCTTCCGATCACCCGACGGAGGGTCTGTGAGGTATACTATCTGCAGGCCTGTCCTCCTAATCGAGAAGTTTCTTGCTTCGTCCGCTGGCCAGTGCCTGCGAGCCAGTGCACTTGATTGATGCATTCGTGCACGCCTGTGGATTGTAACTGCATCGCGTGAGTATGCTGGCCGAACTGCTGGCTTTTGGCTTCATGCGCTGGCTCCGGTGTGTATAGTCAGATGAGTTTGCATCTGATGTGCAAATGCAGCCATCAGTTGGGGCATGATGTCTCCTATTGCGACCGGCGTTGCGCTTTCAAGTCTCTTGCGGCAGTGCAGGCCATTGCCCTCGTTGTTTTCACCGTGGTCCTCCGAAGCAGAAGCGACGGCAGTGCCAATTTCTCAGAGCTCCGCGCGGATTTCTTGGGTCGGCGCTGGGCCCTTCCCGGCGACGCTTCTGGCGCCGCCCCGGGCGCGCTCCGCACGCCAGGGAGGGGTGTCCAGTGCCGATCCAGGAGATCGAGGAATCGTGTTTATGCCGCTTGTGGTACATTTATCGCCGTGAGCTCGCTTCCAGGCTGTGGGATTGCTAGCGCGGGGACCGCCGGCGCGATGCATGCACATGGCGCTGCGCACGCGCTTCAGTTTTCTCTCGCATTCCTGGTGTTCCCGCTTGCTGCCGTGCCAGGGCCAGGACATCGGGATAAGGAAGGAGAGGGGAGGGTGAGGAGGAGGAGGAGAAGGAGGAGGAGGAGGAGGAGGAGGAGGAGGAGGAGGAGGAGGAGGAGGAGGGGGTGGCGACTCCCACCTCGTGGAAAACGACGGAAGGTTTTTCATGATTCTCGGCCTCTAGGAGCCCTTGCCGGGCCCTGGGACCGTCAAACATTGAATTTCCCAGGACGAGAAACCAGTCCTGGGGAAGGGCTCCAGACTTCGGGGGCGTCGTTGTGAAGCAGTGTATTTGGCTTTTCCCAGCTGGGTCGCATCTTGCGGCATGCCTCTATCAGCAGGCATACTGGCTCCATGGTCGATCCCGTTCCGAGTCAGAGAACTCATCATCATTGTCTTGCCATCATCTGTGTATTTGTTCTGAGAGCAGGCGCGGCCATCTGGGCCCTTCAGCACGTGGTGCCCTTGACTCGGTCTTAGGCACGCCTCGCCAACGCTCTACGACATTATAATGCTTGTGTATGGTTTTGCGCGGCTGTGCCCATTTCTTTTCGTATGTGCACAACATCGTGATCTCTTGACGCCTTTGCGTACCCCAGCCAGCTCGAGCTGTCTTGACAAGCGAAGTACAGGAACATGTGGTGAAACGCGGGTGCAGAGTGGGGGGGCACTCGCCCGATCACGTTCTGCTTAGGAAGACGAGGAGGCGGAGGAGGAGGAGGAGGAGGAGGAGGAGGAGGAGGAGGAGGAGGACCTCCTACGTGGACGATGCGAGGGCCTCTCAATGGCGGCGGGCGGGTGTGGTGGTGGTTTCGAGCGCATTCTTCGGCAGGGGGAAGAAAAAGAAGGAAACCAGAACTGGAACCAGAACCCGAACGAAAACCGGAACCAAAGCCGCAATCAAAGAACGCCCGAATAAGACAAACCCAAACCGAAATTGGAACCAGAACCAGAACCAGAACCGCGAGGGGTCATGGCACCTGAGAAAAAAAGGAAACCAGAAACATAACCAGAACCGGAACCGGAACCAGAACCAGAACCTTGACCGGGGGGTCTTTTCCCGGGCCGAAAGAAGAAGAAAACCGGAACCAAAACCGGACCCAGAGTCAAAACCGTGAACGGAGGCTCTTTCGGTGCGGAGAAGAAGGAGGAAACCATAACCAAAACCAGAATTGGAACCAGAGTCTGGGCCGATTGCGACCGACCGAAAAAGAAACGGAAACCCGTACAAGAACAATCACAAATTCACTGAGCACCGCAAGCAACCACAGCGTTGGGTCTGCGCCGAAGCCTGCGCCACGCCACGTGGCGCGGGCGCCGCGCCGAGAGGGCGCAGGCGCCACGGGAGGCCTCGGTGCTGGTCGCAGCACGACCCAATGACATGATGCGACCAGCGCCGTGCACCGCCCACCCGTTGCGCACGCGGTGCGCGGCGCTCGGGCACGCTCCGAGAAGAAAGTACGACTCTATGAACCCGAGCTGCTGTCCGAGCTGTCCGAGCTGTCGGACGCAGAATTGCGCGCGGCAGCTGTCCTCTCGCTCTCGACCCGACAGCGGTCGATGTAGTCAGGCGAGACAGGCGTCAGACGCCCAGCCTCTTCGTTCTTTTGTTACGGCAATCGGTGCACCCGCGCGATCGATGTCGTCGGCGTGCCCCCTCGTCCGCGCGAGACGGGCACAGGGGTGGGCGCGCCGCGCCACGCGGGTGGTCGCGGGTCGCGACCGTCGTATGTCGTGCGTGCCGAACAGGTGGGCACCGTCCACCCTATTCTGGACAATAGGGACCGAAGGATACGCCTGGCATCCGACCCTGAGAATTGCGCGAACGGGTGAGTGCCGACGGCTGTATCGCGCAGCAACTGCGGCAGCGCGTGCGCTGCGCACGTCGCGGCGTGCGCGCGGCACCAGCACCGCCAGCGGAGTAGAGACGCACACGCCTTATTCTTCCGCCGGGGCAACCAGAGGAGTGCCTCGTCGGCCGAGATGGCGCGCGCGGACCTGTGCCCATCGCCTGCGGCGCGCCGCGACGCGCGCAAGCCGTGCGGCGGCGCGCCGACTGCACGCGCCTGCGTCCGCCGCGCTACCCTGGGGCCAGCGAGTGTGTGTGTGCGATGGAACACAGGGCCGAGTCCGTTCCATACAAACGAGAACCAGAACCATATGTCTTCTTCTCGGCCGAAGAAGATTGAGACCGGGGCCAGAGTTGGAACCAGAACCAAAATCGTGACCAAGGGGGTCTTCTTCGGGCCCAGAAAAAGGAGGACACCGGAACGAGAGTTAACCAAACCGGAACCAGAACCATGACCTGGGGGGTCCACTTCGGGAGTGGTAGAAAAAGGAAACCAGAACCATAACCAGAACTGGAACAAGAAACAAAAAACCGAACCAGAACCAATAACATAACATGACTTGGGGGGGTTCTTCTGGGCCGGAAGAAAGAAGCCGGAACAGGAGCCAGAGCCAGAACCGTTTACTGGTTTTTTCCGGGCCGGAAGAAAATCGAAACCGGAACCGGAACCGGAACCAGAAGCGAAACCGTGACCAGGGGGAATTTATTCGGGGCCAGAAGAAGCAGGAAACCGGAACTGGAACCACAACCAGAACCAGACCCGCGAGGACCCACGGAACCGAAAGAAAAGAAAAAATTGGAACCATAGCCAGAAACGAAATCAAAACCAAAACTAAAACCGTGACCATTGGAGTTTTCTGCGGCACCCTGACGAAAAAGAAACAGTAACCAGAACTGGAAACGGAACCAAAACCGTTTTTTGGGCGGGCCGGAAGAAGGAAAAGAAGCCACACGGAACTGGAATTGGAACTTAAACCGTGACTTGGGGGGTCTTCTGGGCCGGAAGATGACAGAAACGGGAACCATATTTAGAACAGGGGGTCTTCGGGGCCAGAAGAAGAAGGAGGAGACCATAACCAGACTTGGAACCGGAACCGTGACCAAGGGGGTCTTCTTCAGGGCCAGAAGCAGAAGGAAACCAGAACCATGACCAAAACCAAAACCAGAACCGTGTCGTCTTCGCGCCCTGAAGAAAAAGCAAACCGGAACCAGAATTGGAGCCAGAACCGTGATTTGGGAGTCTTCGAAGGTTGGAAAAAGGAAACTAGAACCATAACCGTAACACCGTCACCAGAACCAGAACCGTGACCGAGGGCTTTTTTCGGCACCCCAAAGAAGAAACACATTGAAACCAGAACAAGGACCGGAAGCGGAACCCTGACCGCAGGCCCCCACGGGGCGGAGAAAAACAGGAAGCCATAACCATATCCAACACCAAAACCAGAAACGTGATTTGGGGATTTGGGGAGTCTTCTTCCGCACGCCGAATTAAAAGAAAACCAGAAGCGAAACCAGAACAGTAACTAACTTGCGGGTATGTTTGAAACAAGCAGAAAGACACCGAAGCCATACCGAAACGTGACCTTCTTCTTCGAAGCCGGAAGAGGAAGGAAATCGGAATTGGAACGGAAACCCTAACCAGAACCGTGACCTCGGAGGAGAAAGAAACCGGAACGGGAATCTGAACCCGAACCGGGACCGTGATTTGGGAGGTCGTCTTCGAGTTTAGGAAAACAGGGAACCGGAGCTAGAACGATGACCGAGGGGTTGTCTTCGAGCCCCGAAAAAGAAGGACACCCGAACAGGAACCATAACCAGAACCGTGATTTGCGTGTGTTGGACACGGAAGGAGTTGGGTGGAAAGATTTGTGTCAAGTCAGGCTTGGGGAGTATCGGGTGGTGTGCTATACACGAAGGTTTCTGGAATACTTGGGTGTTGTTGTGCACGGAGGGAGCTGGGTAGATTTGGAAGGGGGCCAGTGGACACGGAAAGAAAAGATTGTTCCTTACCTAGGCTCTGCCGGAAGAAAAGGGTTCTTACTCTCTTGGTTTAAAGGGCCGGGCAGTGGGAACCGGCCCGGGCGGTTCCCCCCAGTATCCGCCCCGCGGTTCACCCAGTTACGTCCCCTTAGCTTAGCGTTGTTTATCTCATCTTAGCTTAGCTTATTTCATATTAGCTTAGCTTAGCTTCATCTTAGCTCAGGTTTATCTTAGCTTAGCTTACCTTCATCTTAGCTTCGCTGAGCTTTAGCATAGCAGAGCACAGCATAACATAGCATAGCGTAGCATAGCATAGCGCAGCATAGCATATCATAGCATAGCCCGGCATAGCATAGCATAGCATGGGTGACGTTCTCTACCTAGGCTCTGCCTAGAGGGTTAGCTTAGCTTAGCTTAGCATAGCGCAGCGCTGCATGAACATAGCATAGCATATCATAACATAGCCAAACATATCATAGCATAGCATAGCGCAGCATAGCATAGCATAGCATAGCATAACATAACATATCATAGCGCAGCTTAGCATATCATAGCATAGCATAGCTTGGCATAGCACAGCGCAGCATGACACAGCATAGCATAGCATAGCATAGCATAGCATAGCATAGCATAGCATAGCA